AAATAAATAAATAAAATTAAAGTAAGAAGAGGCCAGGAGTGGTGGTTCATGCCTGTAATCCCAGCACTTTGGGAGGCTGAGGCAGGAGGATTGCTTGAGACCAGGAGTTTGAGAGTAGCCTGGGCCAGGCGCGGTGGCTCAAGCCTGTAATCCCAGCACTTTGGGAGGCCCGAGGTGGGTGGATCACGAGGTCAAGAGATCGAGACCATCCTGGTCAACATGGTGAAACCCCGTCTCTACTAAAAAAAATTACAAAGAATTAGCTGGGCATGGTGGTGCGTGCCTGTAATCCCAGCTACTCAGAAGGCTGAGGCAGGAGAATTGCCTGAACCCAGGAGGCGGAGGTTGCAGTGAGCCGAGATCGCGCCATTGCACTCCAGCCTGGGCAACAAGAGCTCAAAAAAAAAAAAGAGAGTAGCCTGTGCAACATAGTAAGACCCTCTCTCTACAGTAAATAAATAAAGTAAGAAGTGGTCCAATAGCCAGGTGTGGTGGTGTGTGCCTATAATCTCAGCTATTCAAGAAGGACATTAAGGTGGGAGGATTGCTTGAGTTCAGGAGTTTGAGGCCAGCCTAGACAGCATAGTAAAGTCCCATTTCAATTTAAAAAATAAATAAATAATTTAAAAAGAAGAAATCAATGTTTGCAAGGTGATTCTTTGAGATAATTGGTCTCCACCTTTCTTTTTTTTTTACTATATAATTTTTGTTATAGGTTCAGGGCTACATGCACAGTTTTGTAGGCCATATGGGGTGGCTCATGCCTGCAATCCCAGTGCTTTGGGAGGCCGAGGCAGGTGGATCATGAGGTCAGGAGTTTGAGACCAGCCTGGTCAACACGGTGAAACCCCATCTCTGCTAAACATACAAAAATTAGCTAGGCATGGTGGCAGGCGGTTGTACTCCCAGCTACTTGGGAGGCTGAGGTAGGAGAGTCACTTGAACCTGGGAGGTGGAGGTTGCAGTGAGCTGAGACAGGTGCCACTACACTCCAGCAGCCTGGGCAATAGAGCAAGACTCCTTCTTGGGCGGGGGAGAGGGAAGGCCAGGCGCAGTGGCTCATGCCTGGAATCCCAATACTTTGGGAGGCCAAGGTGGGTGGATCACGAGGTCAGGAGATAGAGACCATCCTGGTCAACACAGTGAAATCCTGTCTCTACTAAAAATACAAAAAATTAGCTGAGCGTGGTGGCACACTCTATAATCCCAGATACGTGGGCAGGCGAATAGCTTGAAACCTGGGAGTCGGAGGAGATTGCAGTGAGTCGAGATTGCACCACTGCTCTCCAGCCTGATGACAGAGCAAGATTACGTCTCAAAAAAGCTAGGCACGGTGGCTCACGCCAAGGTGGGTGGATCACCTGAGGTCAGGAGTTCAAGACCAACCTGGCCATCATGGTGAAACCTCATCTTTAAAAAAAAAAACAGGCCGGGCGCAGTGGCTCACGCCTATAATCCCAGCACTTTGGGAGGCCGAGACGGGTGGATCACGAGGTCAAGAGATCGAGACCATCCTGGTCAACATGGTGAAACCCCGTCTCTACTAAAAATACAAAAAATTAGCTGGGCATGGTGGCGCGTGCCTGTAATCCCAGCTACTCAGGAGGCTGAGGCAGGAGAATCGCCTGAACCCAGGAGGCGGAGGTTGCGGTGAGCCGAGATTGCGCCATTGCACTCCAGCCTGGGTAACAAGAGCGAAACTCCATCTCAAAAAAAAACAAAAAACAAAAAACAAAACCACACAAAAAACCGAACACCCAGGTTTGTTACATATGCAAATTGTGTGTCATGGGGGTTTGATATGTAGGTCATTTCATCACCCAGGTAAGAAGCATAGTACCTGACAGGTAGTTTTTCTTTTTTTTCTTTTTTTTTTTTTTTTTTGAGACGGAGTTTCACTCTTGTTACCCAGGCTGGAGTGCAATGGCGCTGATCTCGGCTCACCGCAACCTCCGCCTCCTGGGTTCAGGCAATTCTCCTGCCTCAGCCTCCTGAGTAGCTGGGATTACAGGCACGCGCCACCACACCCAGCTAGTTTTTTGTATTTTTAGTAGAGACGGGGTTTCACCATGTTGACCAGGATGGTCTCGATCTCTCGACTTCGTGATCCACCCGCCTCGGCCTCCCAAAGTGCTGGGATTACAGGCTTGAGCCACCGCGCCCGGCCCTGACAGGTAGTTTTTCAATCCTCTCACTTTTCTCACCCGACCACCACCTTTCTTTATGTTGTCCCCCTTACTTGGAAAGCTTTTCCTTTTCCACTTTACCTAAATTACTCTCAAACTCTGGTGAAGACCTATTTTTTTTTTTTGAGACGGAGTTTCGCTCTTGTTACCCAGGCTGGAGTGCAATGACACCATCTTGGCTCACCGCAACCTCTGCCTCCTGGGTTCAAGCAATTCTCCTGCCTCAGCCTCCAGAGTAGCTGGGACTACAGGCGTGCTCCACCATGCCTAGATAATTTTTGTATTTTTTTTTTTTTGAGACGGAGTTTCGCTCTTGTTACCCAGGCTGGAGTGCAATGGCACGACCTTGGCTCACCGCAACCTCCGCCTCCTGGGTTCAAGCAATTCTCCTGCCTCAGGCTCCTGAGTAGCTGGGATTACAGGCACGTGCCACCATGCCCAGCTAATGTTTTGTATTTTTAGTAGAGACGGGGTTTCACCATTTCACCATGTTCACCAGGATGGTCTCGATCTCTCGACCTCGTGATCCACCCGCCTCGGCCTCCCAAAGTGCTGGGATTACAGGCTTGAGCCACCGCGCCCGGCCTAATTTTTGTATTTTTAGTAGAGACAGGGTTTCACCATGTTGATCAGGATGGTCTTGATCTCTTGACCTTGTGATCCACTCGCCTCGGCCTCCCAAAGTGCCGGGATTACAGGCGTGAGCCACCTGTGCCCGGCCTTGGTTAAGACCTATTTAAGTTCTAACTCATGCTTTCAAAAAACATAATAGATCTCTTCATTTTCTGGCTTCCTTCTATTTCGTAACTTGTGAAACATTATTTCCTTCAGTAGTTTGTTAGTTACTAAAAAGCAGGAACCATGCTGATATTTTATGTCTTCTAACCATGCCTACCTAACAAGTGTTATATTTCTTTTGAAACAGGGAAGGAAGCTATAAAGCATCACGTGCAGCCGGGCGCGGTGGCTCACGCCTGTAATCCCAGCACTTTGGGAGGCTGAGGCGGGTGGATCACGAAGGTCAATAGATCGAGACCATCCTGGTCAACATGGTGAAACCCCGTCTCTACTAAAAATACAAAAAAGAATTAGCTGGGCATGGTGGTGCATGCCTGTAATCCCAGCTACTCAGGAGGCTGAGGCAGGAGAATTGCCTGAACCCAGGAGGCGGAGGTTGCGGTGAGCCGAGATCGCGCCATTGCACTCCAGCCTGGCTAACAAGAGCGAAACTCGTCAAAAAAAAAAAAGCATCACGTGCATGATCTTTAATTTGAGATGGAGTCTTGCTCTGTTGCCAAGATTGGTCTTGAACTCCCAGGCTCAAGTGATCCTCCGACCTTGGCCCCCCTGAGTAGCTGGGACTACAGGCACACACCACCACCCCCAGCTAACTTTTTTGTTTTATTTTTTGAGGCAGAGTCTCTCTTTTCACCCAGGCTGGAGTGCAGTGGCATGATTTAGGCTCGCTGCAACCTCTGCCTCCTGGATTCAGGCGATTCTCCTTCCTTAGCCTCCTGAGTAGCAGGGACTACAGGCATGCACCACAATGCCTAGCTGATTTTTGTGTTTTTAGTAGAAATGGAGTTTCACCATGTTGGCCAGGCTGCTCTCGAACTCCTGATTTCAAGTGATCCTCCTTCCTCAGCCTCCCAAAGTGCTGGGATTACAGGCATGAGCCAATGGGGCCTGGCCTCCAGTTAATTTTTGTATTTTTTAGTAGAGACATGTTTTCACCATGTTGGCCAAGCTGGTCTTGAATTCCTGAGCTCAAGTGATCCACCCATATCTGCCTCTCAGAGTACTGGGATTATAGACATGAGCCACCGCTCTCGCTAAGTGTATGATTTTAAAAGTCTTTATGTTGCAGTTGTTTTGTACCTATTCCTCATCTTTCTGGGAACAGGGATGCCATTTTACATGTCTTCCCAGAGTCAACCACAGTGTTTAATATTACTGTATGCACTCTATAAGATACCTGAAGATTGATTCTCTTTATTGTTAATGTGTGGTACTGTATCAGAAACCCCTATCATCAAAAGTCTAAAGTTGGCGGGGAGTAGGTGGCTCATGCCTGTAATCCAAGCACTTTGGAGGCCAAGGCGGGCGGATCACCTGAGGTTGGAGTTCAAGACCAGCCTCACCAACATGATGAAACCCTGTCTTTTAAAAAAATTAAAAATTAAAAATTAAAAAAAAAAAGTCTAAAGTTATTAGAGGGAGTGGAAGAATACCATCGGGGCCTATTTTTCTCGAAATTATGACATCACGAATAAAAAAAATTAATGTATAGTGAAATCAGCACTGTAGAGAGTCAAAATGCCTTGCCTGTGTTCCAAACTTTGGGCCAAACTACCTGGTGCACGGTTTCCTCATCAGTTTCTTCAGGGAGTAAATGAGATAATAAGGTATAAGCACTCAGCATATGGCAGGCAAATACTGCTGGATTATACTACTGGATTTGTTTCCTTCTCCCACTAAATGAGAAGAAAATAATGCTCCCACATTTACACGTTTTAGAATATTTTATTTTGCGTTAGCGGATATAGAAAACAAAGGAGGGATGAGAGAACAGAAAAGAGCAAAAAGGCAAAGTGCTAAGCAGATTGACTCAATGCTTTATCGATATACTCCTCAATTTCCTTGATCTTGGGTCTCGCTCTCCACGCAGGCCTCCAACCACACCGGTCAGTCCGGATCTCCCTCCCTGTCAGTGACGGCTGCCCTACCACGCGGGGTCTCATCCGCCCACCCGGCCCCCACAGCCCCTACAGTCCCCACAGCCCACTTTTCCCAGGCCCTCGGCCATCCCGCGTCGGGTCGGAATTCACCTGCAACAGCTAGGGCCACCGCCCTCCCGGCCTGGAGCCTGCCTCCCGAGGCCCTCGGCTCCCTCGCCCGCCCCCCGCGCCACCCCGGCGCCCCGCCCCGGGCGGGGAGAGTCGGGGCGAGGGGAGGGCCTGCCAGGTGAGGCGCGGTCACCCTGGGCCTCTCACTTCCGCCCAGGTGAGGCAGGGCCGACAGCGAGCCGGCCCGGCCGGGGCTCCCACCTGCTCCTCCGGCGCACCAGGTAAAGCGTGGGGTCCCGGCTGTGCGGTGCGCGCTTGTCCCTGGGGATCCCCGCGCCTGGAGGCCGGCGGGGGGCAGCTTCCGCGCGGGCTTCCCGGGCCTGCCTGCCCTGCCCCCGTGCGCTCCTCGCCGGCCCGCCCGAGGGGGTGGGAGCCAGAGGCGGAGGGCGCCGCCGGGCGCTCGGAGGTCCCGCGGCGGGGATGGGGCGTCCGTAGCGTGAGCCCGCGCGGGCCCGGGAGGCGGGGCGGGGGCGCCTTCCTCCTGCGTCCGGCCCGGGTGACCCCGGTCCTGCAGCGCTGGGCTCGCAGAGGCCGCGGGCAGAGGCCCCGCCCCGCCCGGCTTCCCCCAGGCCTTTCGGGCCTCGAATTTCGGCCCACTGGTGTTCGGCGGTGCCACGGATGCGATTCTGCGCCCAGATCGGTGCCTCTGTTTCGCTCCCGGAGCTGGGCGGAGTCTTTCCCTCCGTTGGTGGCGGTGGAAGGAAGGAACGGGGGTGAGGGGACAAAGAGGAGGGGGTGCTCAGAGCCGGGCTGTGGGGGCGACTTGGGCCGGGCCGTGGAGGTTCCCAAAAGCCAGTGCTCAAGCCCTGGACCCTGCCAGCCTTGCTGCGTAGATGGGGAGGTTGTGTTGGAAAGAGCTTCCAGCCTTAGGGGAATTCTTGGATTCCTGCTTTTAAATCAAGCTCAGGAAAGCATTTTCAGATGACTCCCACCCTCCAAATCGCCCCATCCGTCCCGCACACCGGCCAAATTAAGTGAACAAACACCCTTCACCTGGCACTTTGTCATATTTCCAAGTGGCTCTTGTCACTTTGGATTCGAGTTTGTTGTTTATTGGCCTGCCTTTGCCATTTAGAGGGTGCCCCTTTCTGGGCCTTATTTCTTGATTGCATTTGGGGTCTTGCTATTGGTAAGTGCTCGACAAGTGTTTCTTAAGTGGATGAAGAAGGCTTTGGAAACCCAGAAGGACAATGTCCGTTCCACTGAGGATGATACTACCACATTCTGGGCTGAGTTCCTAGTGGCTGCCAATTAGTTTGCACACATCTATCTGAAAGGAGTGGGGGTGGGGTCGGCAGTTAAAAACTTAAGTCTTAATGCCTGTAATCCCAACACTTTGGAAAGCTGAGGCGGGTGGATCACCTGAGGTCAAGAGTTCCAGACTAGCCTGGCCACCATAGTGATGCCCTGTCTCTACTAAAAGTACAAACATTAGCTGGGCGTGTTGGTGGGTGCCTGTAATCTCAGCTACTCGGCAGGCTGAGGCAGGAGGCTGAGGTTGTAGTGAGCTGAGATTGCCCCATTACACTCCAGTCTGGGCGACAAGAGCGAAACTCCATCTCTAAAAACAGCAACAGGCCCGGTGCGGTGGCTCAGGCCTGTAATCCCAGCACTTCGGAAGTCAGAGGCGGGCGGATCACAAGGTCAGGATATCGAGAACATCTTGGCCAACACAAACCCTGTCTCTAATGAAAATACAAAAATTAGCCCGGCGTGGTGCGTATCTGTAGTCCCAGCTACTCTGGAGGCTGAGGCAGGAGAATCAGTGAACCCTGGAGGTGGAGGTTGCAGTGAGCCAGGATCCCACCACTGCACTCCAGCCTGGGCAGCAAGAACAAACACAACAAACTTAACTCTGTTTGCAGCATTAGAAAATGTTAGGTGAGATTGAGCCTTTTAGCTAAAGTGAGCTTTGATGCTTTTAGGGTCCCTAATGGCCTTTAAGATGTTAACAAACAACAGCAACAAAACACTCCAAATATGTTGAATTTATTTGGGAATGAGAAATGAGAATTATAGCCTGAGATGCACAACCATTTATTGGTTTTAGAGACTCAAAGCCAGAGTTGGCCATTGGTGAAGATACCATTACTGGACAGGTGTTATGGAGAGTGTCTTACCAGGTCTGGCGCCCTGCCTCATGCCTGTTATCTCAGCTACTTAGGAGGCTTAGGCAGGAGGATCCCTTGAGACCAAGAGTTGGAGACCAGCCTGTGCAACATGGCTGTCTATTCAGAAAAAACTTTTTCAATGGCTAGGTATGTCAGGAGGTTGAGGCAGGAGGATTGCTTGAGCCCAGGAGATGGAGGCTGCAGTGAGCTGTGTTTGTACCAGTACACTCCAGCCTGGGTGACAGAGCAAGAACCCTGTCTCAGGAAAAAAAAAAAAGAAAAAGAAAAAGAAAAAAAAAGATTATCTTATCTTATCTGAATTACTGCATTCCTAAAGAAAGAATTTCTTGTGGAGTTATTTTAAAGTTCTTGAGTGATCTTTATCTCAGACAGGCAAGCCTGAGCCTTATCCAGCTCTCCATCTCTAGTTTGTTTGGGTCTGACAAAAAGTGATTTTGTCCTGGTGGCTGTAACTTTCACAAAGATAATAAGAAAGTTAGGGCCGGGCGCGGTGGCTCAAGCCTGTAATCCCAGCACTTTGGGAGGCCGAGGCGGGTGGATCACGAGGTCGAGAGATCGAGACCAACCTGGTCAACATGGTGAAACCCCGTCTCTACTAAAAATACAAAAAATTAGCTGGGCATGGTGGTACGTGCCTGTAATCCCAGCTACTCAGGAGGCTGAGGCAGGAGAATTGCCTGAACCCAGGAGGCGGAGGTTGCGGTGAGCCGAGATCGCGCCATTGCACTCCAGCCTGGGTAACAAGAGCGAAACTCCGTCTCAAAAAAAAAAAAAAAAAAAAAAAAAGAAAGTTAATAAATATGGAAATGGAAGGTACTTATGGACAGAACTTATAAAATGAATTCTGAAGAGATTTGCCCTTACTAGTCCAGATCCTATTAAGGGTAAGAGGAAAAACAAACTTTTTCCTCTGCTCTCACACTACCACAATCAACACTGAAGACTTCTGTGACCAAATAAATGTGTGGGCCAATCAGTTCTGCATCGAACAATAGCTGAGCGTCTTCCAGTTCAATTTTGACACTATCTACCTGGGGATAGTGTCAGATCCCATTAAGACTGGCCCCACTTCTGATGCCAGTCACAAGTCCTAGATTGTTTGACCCTGGCTTCTGACTAACTGGCTATAAATTGGGAATCCACAACTCCCTCCTCTGGTTTGGTTAGTTTGCTAGAGCAGCTCACAGAACTCAAGAAAACACTTACTTAGGTTTATTGCTGATTTATTGTCAAGAATATTACAAAGGATACAAGAGGAAGAGATGCACAGAGTAAGGTATGGGAAGGGACATGCCACCCACCAAGAACCTCTATGTGTTCAGATATCAAGAAGCTCTCCCTACTGCATCTTCTTGGGCCTTTTTTTTTTTTTTTAATTGAGACAGAGTCTTGCTCTGTCACCCAGGCTGGAGTGCAGTGGTTCGATCTTGGCTCACTACAACCTCCACCTCCCGGGTTCAAGTGATTCTCCTGCTTTAGCCTCTGTGGCAGCTGGGACTACAGGCGTGCACCGCCATGCCCAGCTAGTTTTTTGTATTTTTATTAGAGAGGGGTTTCACCATGTTGGCCAGGCTGGTCTTGAACTCCTGACCTCAAGTGATTTGTCTACCTCAGCCTCCCAAAGTGCTGGGATTACAGTCATGAGCCACCACACCCCACCATTTTGGGCTTTTTATGGAGACTTAATCGGGTAGACAAAATTGAAGCATGGAGTAGGGAAACCCAGCAATGCGTATCTGTTCAGATTTTTCTTGGCCTCTCTGTGTGGCATTCCTTCCTTCAAGGTATGGGCAGGACCCCTTCCGAAATGGGGGTCTTATGACCTATAATCACACAAGGGAGGTCAGAGAATTTTTTTTTTTTTTTTTTTTTTTTTTTTTTTTTTGAGACAGAGTTTCACTCTTGTTACCCAGGCTGGAGTGCAATGGCACGATCTCGGCTCACCACACCTCCGTCTCCTGGGTTCAGGCAATTCTTCTGCTTCAGCCTCCTGAGTATCTGGGATTACAGGCACGCGCCACCATGCCCAGCTAATGTTTTGTATTTTTAGTAGAGACGGGGTTTCACCATGTTGATCAGGATGGTCTCGATCTCTTGACCTCGTGATCCACCCGCCTCGGCCTCCCAAAGTGCTGGGATTACAGGCTTGAGCCACCACGCCCGGCCGAATTTTTAAATTTATTTATTTAGAGACTGAGTCTTGCTCTGCTGCCCAGGCTGGAGTGCAACGGCGTGATCTTGGCTCACTGCAACCTCCTTGGCTCACTTTTTGTATTTTTGGTAGAAATAGGGTTTCATCATATTGGCCAGGCTGGTCTCGAACTCCTGACCTCAAGTGATCCACCTGCCTTGGCATCCCAAAGTGCTGGGATTATAGGCATGAGCCACTGCACCTGGCCAAAATTATTTTTATTTCTTAAAATATTTGTTTATGAGATGGAGCCTCACTCTGTCGCCCAGGCTGAAGTGCAGTGCTGCGATCTCCACCCACTGCAACCTTCACCTTCCCGGGTTCAAGTGATTCTTCTGGCTCAGCCTTACGACTGTTGGCATGTGCCACCACGACTGAGTAATTTCGTTTGTTTGTTTGTTTGTATTTTAGTAGAGACAGGGTTTCGCCATTTTGGCCAGGCTGGTCTCGAACTCCTGACCTCAAGAGATCCACCTGACTGGGCCTCTCAAAGTGCTGGGATTACAGATGTGAACCATCACACCTGGCCTCTTTTAAAAATTTTTTAGTAGAGACTGGGTCTCACTATATTGCTCAGGCTGGTCTTGAACTCCTGGTCCCAAGCCATCCTCCCATCTTGGCCTGCCAAAGTAGTGGGCTTATAAGTGTGAGCCCCCATTCCGGCTCAGATAATTTCTTTTTTTTTGATCACCCCCCCAACTCCTCGCTCAGAGAATTTCTTTACAGCCAGTTTCAAGACAGAAAAGCAGGGGAAAATTAGAGACCTGCCTTGGGGAGTAAAAGGAGCAGATGAAAGGAGGGGCAGGAGAATGTCAGAGAGAGAGAGAGAGATTCTGTTTTTTTTTTTTTTTTTTTTGAGACGGAGTTTCGCTCTTGTTACCCAGGCTGGAGTGCAATG